GAGAATTGATTTGGATTTCTGTGAAACTCAGCCATACTGGCTGCAAACAGGAATTTGTTCTTGGAAGGATAACAACAGCCAGCCTGTTGCCCTTGTTTACACTGTAAAAGGTACATAGGAAAAGAGGGAATTGCGTCCAGCCTGCACTCTGTGTAGCTAAAACATGAAAAGTACTGCTGGTTTGGCCTTCTTTCTAAACAAATGTTAGGGCAAATATTCAAAACTAAGGAGAGCCAAGCCGAGGCTGCAAAAATCTTTGCTGTCAAAAATCTCCGTGTGAATTAAGATGACTGAGTTTTAGCAATTTCATTGTGCCTTTTCTGACCAAAAGAACTCAAGACTTTTATCTAAGTCTGTTTTCAGGCCCTCAGTAAGTGATGCATGTCTCAGAGATGCTTAAAATCTTATATGAATTTCAGCCTTGCTCTCAAAGACTGATAGTTTATTTGCACATTTGTGGTGGTAGTTGTGTTCTTGAGACTAATTGTGCCAATACCTTGAAATATGCCTTCTCCCACTATTTCCTGCTACCTTAATACTCACAATATATTCTGAAAATTGCATCAGGCAAAGAATGAACATATAAATACACAAATGAATTGGCAGAATGTTTGTTTGATATTATCCCTTAAAAAAGACAAAAAGAAAGCTGATGAGTCACTAAGGGGGACATAAATCTTAGGAACTTAATGCATCCAGATAAGGGCATGTAAGGATGGTGAAAAATATTTGCAAAAGCAGCTGAAGAAAGTTTGCTGCCAGGTAAACTTTTTGGAAGGCTTTAGTTTTAAAGGAAAAATCAAGTTACTGTTCATTACCTCAGTACCAGAGAATTGATTTTGATTTCTGTGAAACTCAGCCATACTGGCTGCAAACTGATGCATACTGATGGTTTATCTTGACATATGAACCATCTCTCAAGCTGAATGGATCTGTGCTTCGGAAGACAGATTTACCAAGGACTTTCTATGTTGCCATTGCCTTGTAGCCTTCCTGAAATGAATCTCAATAATATAAATCTTGAGAGCTAACTTGGTGTGGGGGTATGTATGTGTATATATATGTGTGTGTGTGTATATTTATGTACATATTTTAAAGTGTATATATGTACATATTTTAAAGTGTATATATGTAGAGAAAGAGATCCTAAAGAGGAGGCACAAATAGGGCGTCTGCAGGAAGAATTATATTTCCTCGTGCACTTCTTTTTTTGTCCCAATTTAAAATGGTCCTGAAAGAGAGAGAGGTTTTCTAAAGGTATTTGAAGAAATTTTGACTGATATATTATATAGTTAATATATTTATAGTTAATTTTTTAAACTGACCACTTCCTTGCCTAAATACTTAGTTGTAAATGTGAACACAGAGAAGAGAATCTATTTCTCAGCCAAGTTGCCTTGACCAGGTCTTGGATTACACTTCCACACCCACTGTGCAAAGCTCAGGATGTTCTGGCACATAACCAGAGATCTGGAAGGCTGTTAGGGAGTGTGCCTCTCCTGTTAAGAGCTACCAGGGATCCCCAGGCCATTCATTGCTGAAATATTTGCATACCTTGTTCTAAATAAAATTCCTTAGGTTCGCTACATGACGTGCTCCAGTGTTTAATTGTCATGGTAGGAGGGTGGAGAGAGGAGAATGCTACATTGTTTTTGTCTAAGCTAAGCCTGTTGTTCTTCAAGCTGTTGTCTACTTATCAACCTCAATGGATGTGAAGAACCATTGAATATCAGCTATTTTCTGATGTTTTATGTTTGATTCACCTCTCTAGCTTTATTTTCATCATTTCCTGACTAAATAAACAAGGTACTTTTTACGTGTGTGTGTGTGTGACATAGCTTGTTGCAAAACCTATGCTTTTAAAACCATCTGAGAGTTTTCTTGTTCTAAAACTTCCAAATTCTCTGTATTTTTCTTGAAGTGCAGTGGTAAAACTGGATTCAGTGTCCAACAGCAAGGAATAAAGGAAACCAACGTTTAATGTCTTATGCTAATGTGTCCCAGAATTATATTTTCCTTTTGAAATAATGGTGTTGTTATCCAAGTTTTAATCTCACAGATTCTCGAGATGCTTAATATTAGTGATAATTTTCCATTTGTATTGCTGTCATGCCTTGAACATTTTTCCTGAGTTTCATCATCAGTAGACCACCTCTAGACTAATTATGAAAATTATTGTAATTTGCAGTTGTTACCTGCAAATGAGTTGCAAGCTCTGCAAGTTCTGTGGCATTGGCCAACTTGAGAAATGTGCTTTTTTATTCCACTATTCCAGTTGTTAAGGTTGAAATAACTTAGTATACGTAGACCTTTGAAAGACCTCATTGGTCTATATTTTTGCATTGAAAAAAAAAAAAAAATTGCTACTCTCTGAGTAGCTTTTTCAGACAGTTATGCAGCCATATAATAGAAATTTCAGCCAGATTCTGTTTCCCTGATTTACTAGGGAACTTATTGCAGCTCCTTAAGGCTTCCTCTGAAGCCAGACACTGAAGTTTATCAAAGCTACTCCTTTTTGCCTCTCTGTATGCCCTACAGCCTGACAGAGAGAGAAATTAGTGACATTTGATAGGATTCAATTTTCATTTCCTTATTATCTTACATTGTTTTGAAACGGACTGTAATACTGTTTTCTTACATTTAGTATGGACATTGAACTTACTGATTTGTAATCCTCTTGATACTCCCTCCCCTTTTAAAAATGGGTGTATTTGCTTGTGGGTTTTTGTTTTCATAGATAACTGATAACTCTTCAGAAAACGCTTTCACTTGTTACTTGAAATCTACCCCAAAGCACTTAGCCCATCCCCTTCTTTTCATGTACTGTTCAGCAAAAAAAAAACAGGCCTTTTTCTGCTGAGACTGTTTTTGTCATTCAAGTATGATATTTGTAAGAATGTGCAATTAAAACTGTGTTTCTTAATGTAATTGTCAAGGAAGGATGCATATCTCTGTTAAAAGTTGGTAGAGGGCATCTTCAAGATGAAACCAGATTTAAAATTTGCTGCCTTGAAGTTGGTTGGATATTTCATGTGTGTGTGTGTGTGTGTGTGTGTGTGTGTCCTTATCTAACAAGTGATAAAACTCAGTTCCAGGGCAGTGCTGGGCTGGGTGGGGTAAGAGGCTGGAAGGTGAAGGGAAAGACTGTGAGGAGAGGCACAGATGCCACCTCTCTACTAGCCTTCCAGCATTTGGTCCAGCCTTCCTGAGGGACATTACCTTCTGATTCCCTCTTCCTACCTTCTACTGTGCATTTTCCTTCCATATTTTCCATTACATTTAGTGTCCTCAATTTCTTGACCTATTGAAGCATCTCTTTCTTGAAGAGACTGTACCCCTCCTTCTTAGCATTCTCTTGCTTCCCTGTAGATGGGATAGTTTTCCTGTCTTCTTCCCCAAAACAGAGTGTAGGAGGCTTTGTTTGTTACTTGTGACTGGGACCATCCCCAGCCAAATGCTGAGGGAATTATTCTGCTTGGTGACTGAGATGATCTCCAGCTAATGGCTGAATATTTCTAGGGTGAAGGATGTTGTTCTCTGGCTCTTTGTGACCTTAGGCAAATGTATGCTTCTCTTCTGCTGTGACTTAATGTGAAAATGCAGTTCTTTTTACAAGAACTTCACCATTTTCCCATTTTAAATTTACTTTCATTAACAGAATATGAAATGTTTCAGGAATTTAGACAGCAATGTTTTCAATTATTTTCTCCATCTATTCACTTAATTCCTTTTTGGCTATTGTTTCATTTTAACTAATGCTAAAAATTACCACTGAAAAAACTTGCTGAAGAATGAATTTTCTCTAACCATGTTATAGAAACACAGTACCAAACAATATCCAACAAGTAACAAACAGTATCCAACAAAATTTTTTATCTCCATATGATTCTTGTTTAACATTTTGGTGCTGGTAATTAAATTATTAAGTTGTGTATTGGAAGGAAGTTTACCCCTTACATGCTGGTCTGATTTTTTCCGTCTGTGTCATCTATGAGTTTGGCAATTTAACTGATTCTATTCCATCTTTTGCATAAGTCATTCACATGTAATGGGCTGAGCCCTCTTTAGCTGATGAAATGGGGTGTGCTACAAGTTTCAAATGCTGATAACAATGTTGCTTTCTTAACAACTGTGTAAGAAGAGCTGATCTCCCATAGAAACCACTATTGTTGGGCATTTCCAGCAATAAAGCCACCATTACTGTAAAGTGTTAAATACTAGTACAGACAGGAAAAATAAAATTCCTATGCCATTCCAGAAAACGGGAGCAAGACATCCTGAAAGTGCAATCATAACTTGTAGACTGGAGTGAGGAATACCTTAGCCCTGTGAATGCAGCTGCTAAATGGTTGTTTTTCCACCGTGAAACTCTGCTGCTGAAAACTGCTTCACAGGGATGAGTTTTAGTTTTGCCAGTGTAACCTAGACTCTGTGAATGACTCTTCTTTCAGAAACAACATTTACATGTTGCCTTCTGGGTATGTGTTCACAGAGATATGAAGAATAAACATGAAGTTATGCATTGTGTATTGCAAAGCTGTAACAAGGAATTAGTTAATAAATAATACAGGAAATTAATAATTAACTGCCTTGTCATACATCTTTCCGATCTTTATCCATCTGGTACTTCATAGGAACCTAGTTTATCTTCCATCCCTACTTATCTAGTCATGCTTTCTCTTTCATGTTTCCTCTTGCTTTGCTTTATTGCCATTGCTCTTCAGTGTCCTCTTTAAGTGTATGGTGCTTACAGCCACCACTACACAATCCTGAGACCTATTTTAACTAATGCACAACTAAAGCTTAGTTTCAGCTTTGTACTTAAGTAACAGTTTTATCAATGATGTGAGTTAGAAGTGATAGCATAGCAAGCATGATGACAGGTCTCTAATCTCAAAGACACGATGTAATTTTCTTTACTAATAGCAGTGATTCTCTATAAATTTCTAAATACCAAAGATTTCAGGAAAGCTCATGAATTTTCCTGTACTGTTTTGCAGGGGATTTCCCAAGAAAACAGGCAGAACTGCTAGGATAGCATCAGATGAAGAGATTCAAGGGTCAAAAGATGCTGTAATTCAGGATCTGGAAAGAAAACTTCGCTTCAAGGAAGACCTTTTGAACAATGGGCAGCCGGTATAAAAACATAAAATACCCTGGGGAAGGGGAGTGGGCATCAAGGGTAGTTTCTCAGATATGCTGCATATAAAATTGTATGTGGAATATTTTCATATGTTACGTATTTATTATTTTAAATTGCATTTCCAAAGCTGCACTTCCACAAGGAATGACTGTGTACAATTTGGGCTATCATTCCTTCTCCTATTGGGCAACTTTACTTGGATTTAACAAAGCAATGAAGGTCTCAAAGATGATGAATTCTCATAAGAAGCCTGCACAGTCTGTACCTCAAAGGCTTTTTCAGCCTCAGAGGCCACTTGCTTTTGACTGCTTGTCACTAGGTCACTGGCCAGTAAGCATATGCATAGCTCTTGATCAGTCCGGGCTCATTCTACTATTTGCCCAGCTGTTGGACAACAAAGGGAAAGAATAGGTGGTAAGTGGACATCAGAGGGGGATGAGGCAGTTCATCATGAGAAACAAAACCATTAGGAATTGGGCATCATTAGATCCTGCAGTTGTGGGACTTTTTTGACCAATAGAATAAAAAACAACTTGTACTAACTTACAGACTTTATCAAGAATTATCAATCTGCTTGAGGAGTCAAGAAATGAGGTAAAATGGGCAAGTATATCAAACAGTTGAAATGCATAACTGCAAAGTTCTCCGTGAATTTTTGTGCTTTTTAAGATATGCATAAAAGATAAAATACCAAATTCTTCCTGCTCAGAGTTGATGAGAAGCAGCTTTCCTAAGACTTGATTACAGTTATTAAGGCATTAATTTGGATGTCTTTGAAGCAGGAATCTCTTTTAAGAGGAAAGTAATTTTTAAAATATGGAATGTCACCCCTGTTTTGTCAATGTAATATTTTCAAAAGCATCTGAATGCCTTGGGATGCCTTCGTGTCACTGAAAGGTAGTGTGCTTTAGGTTTCGCAGGACCACGCTCAGAAGTTTGCTATATTTGCTACTGTGTCTGAGATGTGGACTATGGGCTTGTAGTTCAAGACAGCCTGTTGAGTCAGACTATCTACTCCACAGCTACTGGATTCTGGTTCTTAATAGGGTCAATGGAGTGAGTTAGGGAAAATGTTGAGAGTGACTATTGCTTCTGTACTTACCTTTCTCTATTGACTGCATAGGGTTTGGCAGTCTTCTGTAGCAGTTAAGCAGAATCACTTTCATAGTGTATAAGTTCCCATTTTTTTCAAGAAGGTGGTCTGAGCATGACTGTCAATGCCTATTTTGGAAAGTGAGAGAGATGTTTGGCTTGGACAAATGAATGGAATGTCCTGAGAAAGCCCACATGGCCCGAGGAAAAAAAAAAAACCCAAACGTAACAACAGTGATGAGATGATGTGGGAGCTTGAACTAAGTAAACTCTGGTTTTGCACTTGCCTTGAGGCTTTTGCCTTGCAGATTCCTGTCTTGGGTGATTCTGTTTGTGTAATCGTGGCTGTGGGCACTTGGAGTGATCGCAGAAGAAATTAAAGTGAAGAAAAGTTCATGACTTGCTTAGACATTTGTAACCAAACCAAGGCTGGTACCTAGTTTTCATGAGTCTCAGCCTGCTGGTTTAGCTACAATATGATGTCTTTTAAAAATTAAATTAAATGAGCTTTTTTAAAAATGGAAACTTTATGTAGATGTAATGTCTTACAATTTCCATTCTTCTGACATTTTTCTGTTTAAATGAGGCATTTCACCACGTAACGAGTTTGCCTTTCATTCACTGGTATTTTTTTGCAATGTTGATTTGTAAGAAAGTGTCTAAGTGCCTGAAATGTGATACTGAATGTAGAAGGAAAAATAATAATGAAATAATTGAATTGTACCCTTAAAGTTTTCTTTTAACTTGCTTTACCTTTTGAGTGTAAATTGTCTTTTATAAGCTGTCTCCTTAATTTCCAAAAGAGTAAGAAGAAATAGAAATGAAAAATATATTCTTTAAGGTTTTTTTATAAAGCTGTCATTATTTTGACAAAATAATCAAGTAGTATAGTATCTCCCTAGCACTTTTGGCAGAGTTTTCTGCTGTGTGGTTCTAATGTAAAAATTGAGCAGAATGACTCGGAGTAAGATTTGGGATGATTTGACATGCACTTTTTTGATGGCCATGCTGATTTAAGCAGTTCCTTTTGCTCATTCCTGCCCAAGTTCCTGGCAAGAGGATGGAAACAAATGGCAGAGTCGGGGCAAAGGCTGCTTAAGCCAGAAGAACCACTTGTAATGCAAAAAAAATGCATTACAAACTGTGGTAGAAAAGTTTTGTTACAAACATATTGCTGCTCTCTTTTATTAACATTACTTAAAGCATTGCTTACTGCCTCGTAGTTCTTAGTAAGAAAAAAGAACTCTTCCTTTTTCTTTTTCCTCATCCTCATCCCCCTTTTATTTTTTGTTCAGAGATTAACATACGAGGAGAAAATGGCTCGTCGATTGCTTGGAGCAGACAGTGCTGCAACTGTCTTCAATATACAGGAACCAGAAGAGGAGCCCGCTATACAGGTGCCACATAACTCTACAGTCTCATAGGAAAATAAAAAAGTTCTTTCAATTTTTCTTTTTTACAGGCTGTGATTCTCTTAAAAAAAAAAAAAAAAGGTCCTACATAAGACAAATACACACAAGATAGGACGGTTTTGATTACAGAAGTCATATGTTATATATCAGTGAAGTAAACTGGAGGATCATATGGCTATTGCTCAGTTTTTCCATACTGAATAAGTCTGAGAGTTCTCAAATGTCTGCTCTCTGCTTTAAACTCTTTCATTTATCCTATTCTGTCCTGAACTTTAAGTATCTCATGGCAAAAATACATCTACTATCTTGAGACTATCTTCTCTTTATGTGTGTAATCTGTACTCTTTGGATGCAGACCAAAAACACAACAGAAAGTCTGACTGAAAGGCCAGGTACACGTTCTCCATTGTTCAGATGCCAGAGTTGCTATTTGGAAATGTGTAGCATTTGTTTGCTTATTACTACGTAAAGTATGTTCTCCTGATAAAAACTCTGAGAAACTGTCATGGATGCATCTTGGTCTTCTTTCTGCCTCTTGATCTTTTTTTCTACCCTTGCAGGAAGCTCGCTCTGTTGGTGCTTCTGTAGTGAGTCCTGTGGATATTCAAAAGGTTAACTTTTTCACCTTTTTCTGTCTTGCTTTTTTTGTCCATTGATTTTTTTTCTCTCTCTCATCTTTGCCCTTTCCCTTCTACTGTTCTTGGTTATTAAAAAGAAGTCATCTAGCATTAATACCTGGGGAAATTTGGGCTGCACTACCTTCAAGGCATTAGAGTTGTTCTATAAGCCTAATTGTCTGAGCGTAGGCAGCTTAACCGCAGTAGTGGTGTGCTCAAGTATCTTTCTGCCATAACGTTAACATACACTGATACTAACTGCCTTGCATCCAGATCAGCTACTCTATATATGCCATGTATACTTCATGATTTACTTTTACAGTAAACTTTCAGGGAACAAAGAAATGTAAAAAACAGCTGCAGTTTACAAAAGGATTTCTCTCTTCTCCCACTTTTGAGTGTTACTGAGGGTTACGATTAGTTCTGTAACCAGTCAGTAGAAAGGCTCCACGTCATTCCCGGACCAGAGTCAGTGGTAGAGGATGGGCATATGGAAGGAGGCTTTGTATGAGACGTGTTCTTTCTTAAATAAAATTAGAGTCAGAGACAATGGCCAAGGGTCATTTGAAAAAGTGCCTGAATTTCTGCTGACCGATTAAAGCATTGGCTAATAAAGATTTGGGGGTTTTTTTCTGCTTCTGAGCTTTCTTATATGCTGGCATTATTTTTGTTACTGCTGGGATTCAAAGCAGGGCTTTTGTACTGTGAAGTAGATAGAGTGAACAGGTCAAGAAAATATATAACTCTGTAGGTCACCGTAATATTTCCCAGTATCTGAATAGCAGATTTAAACAAGCAATAGCATTTTTTCACTGGATTAAACTTTCCATTCTTCTTTCTGTATCTTGAATACTCCTATGACAAATTTTCTTTTTAAGGAAGAAGTGAGACTTTTGACCAGACAAAGGGGGCCACAGCAGCAGGAGTAAAGGGAGGCAACTACCATGGACAGCCAATATTGCCATTTTATCTTTTTTTTTTTTTTTTTTCCTCATTTTTACAGGCAACTGTAAACAAAATCATTTTAGCCTTCTGGTGCGGCCTCTGGTATAGTTCTATGCAAATAGCAGATGTGAACCATATGGTCTTCTGGCCATCTGGAAACAAAACTCACCCTAAATCTGCCTGTACCCTCAAGGAAATATTAGTGTGTTTCTTTTCTCTTTATGAACTGCTTCAGAATACTTTTATTCTTACAGGCTTTTTTAAAAAATGGAAAGAAAGCAGCCAATGACTTTCCTTCCCCTTATGAAGTACACCTTAAGATAACATGAAATACAGTTTTTGCCTCTTACCAGATGTCTTCATTGTTTCATAGGGAAGTTATTGGAGGCATGGATTATAGTGTTTTTCTTCAGCAAGATAGTTTCCTCTCATCTGTAAAACCTTAATGGATTATCAAAGATCAGTAGAATAAAAAAACCCACATTAGGAACACGTCTTGCTGAGCAATGTATTGAAGCTGGCCACTAATATGTACCTTTCTTGTTTGACAGGAGTATAAAGTCTCCAGCTTTGAGCAAAGATTGATCAGTGAAATTGAATACAGGCTGGAGAGATCTCCTGTGGAAGAATCAGATGATGAGGTGCAACATGGAGATGAACCTATTGATAACAGTATGTCACCATGTTTTGAGATAAAGCTGAAGCATTACAAAATCTTTGAGGGAATGCCAGTCACATTTACATGCAGAGTGGCAGGAAATCCAAAGCCAAAGGTAAGAAAAGGGAGTAAATGTTTCTAGAAACGCTCTGAAGAGTTCTATGTTGGTACCTTACAGTGAGCCCCTGGACCCTATGGGCTGTATCTTACAGGAACAGCAGACATTGTCTCTTGACAAGGCAGACTCCTAGCTGATATAAACTGTCAAATCTCTTTTGGTATCACTGGGCAAAAATCCTACTGTGAGGCTTCAGGTGTTAGTTACTCCCTCCTGAGACTTCATCTCAATTATTTTAACTAGAAGTAATACTTCCGTCATCTGCAGAGTTCCCTTCAGGGTGCATCTGTACCACAGAATGCAGTGCAATGCTAGAAAACCCCATGTGAGCTGGCTCTCTAGTCCCAAAAGCAACCTCATCAGGTTAACGTGGGTAATTAGCTCAGACACAGCAGCATCTAATGCAAAAATACGTTGCTTCTGGTTCAGGAGCCAGCGTGGTATCTCTGCATTCTTCAGCACTGCAAAGTTTGTCTACACACCCTAAGACTAAATTTTATTGAAAGTTAGAGGAAGGCACAATAAAATACCATAAGCTCCCATATATCCCAACAGCAGGATCAGACATGATGGCAAGGTTTTAATGATGAGCTTCTGAGGGAGGGTTGGACTTGGGAAGCATTTCCTTTTAGCGAATGTAAAAGTACCAGTTGCGTGATGTCGGCAGTCTGGAAGAATGCCTTCCTTTGGTAGGTTGTGTTTAACCATTTCAAAAATTGTTTGGCAATCAACTGACTCCTTATGCAGCAGGCAAACAGCAGTAGCTTCTTCAGCTTCCTTGCCAGAGCCAGTATCTTCCCCGTGAGGTCCTTGCAGTTCTTACAGTGACCTCTTGTGGACAGGGGCCCTTCTCTTCTTAGACAAGATCAAAGATGCCTTATCTCTTAGATAAGATCTTCACAGCAGCAGCCACATCCAAATCTCTCATTTACTGTAAGTTTTACAGGTATGTAGGATTTTGAAGAGAGATAAGTCCAAATGACTTTACATGTCCAATGATACAGGTGTATGATACTGCACAAACTGTAAAAAGAAAAATGGACTTTGTCAGGAAGCAGGGAAAGAACAACAGCAAATTCGGGCTACATCTACATTAACAAGTAGTGCAGACCAGAATAAGCAAATCTGTAGAACAAGGTATCCATCCCTGCATGCATTTCAGGAGGTTTTACTTCAGGCTAGCTCTAATCTCGTCCCACAGACTGAAGCAGATGCAGCAAATTAGATGTGTTCTTGGAGCACATTTTCTGGCTTAGTTTCATCTGAAAGGAATCCAGTTCTGTGCTCCAAGACCACAACATGATGTGAACCACTGCAAAGTAAGTGGGGCTGATCAGTATACTCACATCAAACAAGCACTCCTGCTTCAAAATGCAGACACACACAGAGATTAGCCCAGTCTGACTGAAACCAAACCTTTGATGTCCAGCATTACTTTTGAGATGACCGTGCAGAAGAGTCTGTTAAGGGTAGAAAACAAATGGGTTCGTTGATGTTAGGTGCAGTGTGCTGGAGAGGTCCTCTTTGTGCCTGAGGCTTATGACTAAGTTGCTGGATCATCTAGTATGAGTCAGCCTTAGTCAATTTAGCCATTCCCTAATTTTCACAGTTTTCAATTAAGGTGTAGTTTCACAGTCATCGTAATCTGATTTAAGACAGATGAAAGAGGATGTCTCCTTTCCCTCGCTCTCCTTGTTTGGGCTTTAGGGATTGCACAGCCAAGAAACCACGTTGCTAGTACTTCCCCTGAAGCACGGCATTATAAAGAAGTATCTGATGTGAATGCATTCTGATTCAGATACGATGTTCTGGTTTTCTGCAGTGTCAAAGTATGTGCATTAAGAAGTGATTTGCTCTTGCACCTGGGACTGTGACCCTTTATTCCATTCACTTGCAGATCCTTTGTGTGATTTGTAAAGTTGCTTGGGATGGAACCAATTTCAGTCCTGTTGGATGGCTACTTGCTAGCTGGGCTTTACAGATGTCAAAGGCTGTGACTTCCCCTCATCTGCTCGAGCATGCCAAGATAGCAGTTTTGAAATGCCCGATGGCCGAGAGCTGCCCTTCTGCTGTCATTTGTTGAAGCTGGAAGTGTTGCCCCTGAATAAATTCTTTACTTTGGCAAATGAAAAGCTGGAAATGATTTACTAACTTGAAGCTCCTCCCTTCTAAATATTCTGTCAGCTCTGCCAAGGAATGGCTTTGGGAAGGACTGTAGTGTTTCTAAAATCTGGCATTCATTACAAGGGATTTTTCTAAGCAGGGTTATTGGCTTGATTATTTTTTCCCCTGAACATGCCATGTAAATTGAATACTGATGTGCAAATTCTGTCTTCATAAATATGACTTTTTACATCTGAGTCTACATTTGTTATAACCTTCAGTGTAATGTAAAACTATTTCTCATTAAAATGAGAACCTGTGGTGATGCAGGAGGGATTGTGGAACACTTCTTTTTAAGGGATCTTTCTTTTCAGAATTAGGACAATGCCATCCAAAAGATTAATTGAGGTATGAATGTTGCATAAAGCTCGTACTGCTCGCTCTTCACATGGCTGGATATAATTCTTAGTGATTAAAAATGCCTGTGCTGCCCAAGATCAAAACCCCTTTTGTACTGTGTATTCCATTGTATTTCTATTCATTACACATTGGTTTCTGAAAATCTGGTGCAAATAAAAGCAATCCAGATGCAGTGTTCAGTGCTTACCTAGTTTAATGGTACATTTATTAAAAGGTATCCCAGAAAGAAAATACTTCACTGCAAGGGCCATTGTCTCCAGCAGTGGTAGTGTTTTACTTATTAACACCATGTCAGATAAAGGTAATATTAAGAAGTTCCTACTCAGAAGTAAAATCTAGTGATGCCAATGCTTTTAAACTTAGTGGAAATAAGTACTGGACAACATATGCATTATGTTTGGATAGCTGCTTCAGTTAATATTTGCATATATTTCCATGTCATAATTCCTGGCATGTCTCCTGATATTTCTGATAAGTGCATTGTTATTAAATAATTGCTACTTAGTGCAGTAGATTTCCAAGCAATGTTATGACACATGTAAAGCATGCAAGTTAAGACTCATTTTTTGCAGCTATGTTGTTACCAGTCTCCATTAGCATGTGTATATAAGCGATCAAATATCTTTTGCATCTCCAGTAAGTGCTCTGTCAGCAGATGAGAAGACATGACTAAATCTTTTGTTAGCACCGCAGAGTCTCTGCAAGGCTGCTGACAGACAAAATGGGAAACAAGTATAACCAGCTATTGAGGAAATGAAATCATTTCTAGTTGCACATAATGCTTGTTAATATAAAAACCATACACGGTAATTAATTTTTAAGGGAAATTTCCACTCATTCCCTCCAAAACATTCTCCATTGTCTTTTTGTGAAATTTAAAAGTATATCCTTACCTTTTCCCCCTAAGTGAACGAATTGAGAGTTTTGAAATATTGGCATGTATGAAGAACCTGGCACATTAAACTCTATCAGGAATTGTGCCTCGCTTTGCCACTTCGTTTTTACTGGAAAGCCGGCCCCTTTCCTCAGTGTAAGACCTGCATTCCCACTTCAAGAATTAGACTGAAAAATGTGTGTGTTTTTCTCATGCTAAATAGTCCCAGCAGTCATGTGCCCAGGAAAAATACGTTTGTTCTACTTTGTACAAATTAGTCTCATAAAAATTATGTAGTTATCTGCACAAATGACTTAAGAAATGTTGAACACCACTGACACTACAGAGTAATACATGCTTCAGAAACAACAAGTAAATAAAGTTCTACTCAAATATTGGTGTGAGGAGCTGACTGCAGCCTTCCTAGTATAACACTTTTCACATATTCCTGTGTGTGTTTTTAAGCATACACCACTTTTTTTTTTTTTTTTTTTTTTTGATTCCAGCAGATTTCAGCTTGGGGTTTTATATTATTTTTGAAATATAGCAAAAAAACCCTAAAGCTAGGTCAAAATATTTGAATTTTTTTTCACCTCAGGTTTGAAGTATTAAAAACACATACATGTTTTTTGTGTAATTTATGGATTACTATAAGATATTATTCTGCATACATCATTTTTTTGGCTCACTGAAAGTAGATCTTGGGTCAGCCAGAGAATAAAATTATGTATCAAAAGTAATGGAAAAGACCTCTGTTTGACAGATAATGTAACGATTCTGTACAACTTGGAACTCTACTGATGCTGGCGCACAATTATCAAAGGCTATCTACGTGCTGAGTTGCTTTGAAGCATTTCCTATTACTTTGTCAACCTGTCCATTTCTGTAGATATCTGTCACATCAAGGTGACACAGTTGGTTTCCATCATGTGATTATACTGAGCTGGCCTGTTCGCTCGTTGCCGGCCTAAGCGGCTGAATCCCCTTCTGCCTTTTTCGTCCAGTCCTGGTGTTTCCACAGTGAGATCATAACTTCTATTAATCACTGAACTAATTATTCCTATAATTACCCTGTTTTATGTTGTTATTTTCTGAGAAGAGAACAATAGCATTCTTTATCCAGCTTCTTCATAGTTAAGTGAAATAAAAATGTAAAATTAGTAATGTTCTCTGAAAGAGAACTGCTCTTTGTAATGACATTTGTTTTCAGTTCTTGAAGTGTTCAGCTGCTGCTCTGTCCTTGGGATGGGTACAGCCCTTATGCACCTGTGAATTTCTTTGGTAAATGTTCATGGTGCCATAGAATCACAGAATGTGGGGGGTTGTAAGGTCCCTCTGGAGATCATCTCATCCACCCCCCCTGCAGGTACATCTAGAGCAGGTTGCACAGGACTGCATCCAGTAAGGTTTTGAATGTCTCCAGAGAAGGAGACTCCACAGCCCCTCTGGGCAGCCTGTTCCAGGGCTCTGTCACCTTCACAGTAAAGATGTTTTTCCTGCTCTTTAGATGGAACTTCCTGTGTTTCAGTTTGTGCCTGTTGCCCCTTGTCCTGTTGCTGGGCACCACTGAGAAGAGTCTGGTCCCATACTCTCAACACCTGCCCTTTAGATATTTATAAACATTAATAAGGTCCCTGCTCAGTCTTCTCTTCTCCAGGCTGAAGAGTCCCAGCTCTCTCAGCCTTTCCTCGTAAGGCAGATGCTCCAGGCCCCTAATCATATTTGTGGCCCTCGGCTGGACTCTCTCCAATAGTTCCTGATCTTTCTTGAACCGGGGAGCCCAGAACTGGACACAGGACTCCAGATGTGGCCTCACCAGGGCACAGCACAGAGGGAATCTTTCTCTTTGAACGATTGCTAATCTGTAAAACCACTTTCAGTGAAAGTGGTTCATGGAGCGGGGTTCTGCACTTTTACTAGTTGATCAAAGTGTTTTTCTTTTAATGCTTACCAGAGAGGTTTTCAGCAGTTAAGATTCGTTAACGGTATTAATTGAGAAATGATGACAGTGAGCACCCACCTCTTATCAGCCGTGCCTTGTTTTTTCCTGCAGATTTATTGGTTTAAAGATGGGAAGCAAATTTCTAAACGAAGTGATCACTACCGAATTCAAAGAGAACCTGATGGAACTTGCTCACTGCATACTACAGCCTCCACCCTGGATGATGATGGGAATTACACTATTATGGCTGCTAACCCACAGGTAAATGAAGGTTTGGCTCCAGAGCAAACATCCTTCTGGACATAAATCTTCAGAAAACTATCTCATCTTACGTATGCATGATTTAATTAAATGATGAAGTCACCATAAAGTATGTAAGTTAGATTTCTGTTTTCATCTTGCATCAGTAGGGTGGGACCTTTCTATCTCCAAGAGATTAGCAACTCAACAGCAGGTTTTTTTTCCTATGGTTTGAGGTTTCAGAGGGGAGGGGTGTTGGCTTTTAATCACTCTTCCACCATTTGTTTTAGCTGATAGCATCTCGGTATCCTAACTGAGCATGGATAGCGTACATTACTCTAAAGGGAGGAAAAAAAAATCCAGTTTACCAGCAGAAGCAACCCAATCCAGCAATTTCATTTTTCTTCTGTTGACACTACTCACTGACTATGCCAACTTTTTGAAATGAGTAGGAGTATATCACACATCAACATGTTTATATTAGGCAGTGATTGCCATTCTGTAAGGCAAAAAATTCTAGCATTTATTAGGTAGGGGGGAGGTCTCCTGTGTTGATCCCGAAGTCTTAAACAGTGTTTTTCTGGAACAGTGTTACTGGTTTTGGAGTGTTATTTTTTCTTCACAGACCTAACTTAAGAGCTGAGGTACACAACCGCTGGATACAGTGAAACTTGCAGTTCATGCATCCTGTTGAAGTAACATTTTCAATCCACTTTTCCTCCAGCACAGCAATTTGAGGGGAAAGATTTGCACGTGAGAAACCAGGGCAGTAACGTAATTTTAGGGATGTAATGAATTATTTTCTTCTGTAGCACCAAATATCTTGCCAAGACCAGGCCTGCAAGTGGAATCACACTGTAAAATAACAAAGTGTATTACTGGGACAGAGTTTAATCTCCACAGGAGTGTTGTGCTCTGTTATGAGCGTTGCTAGGTTACTTAGCATGACACTGCCTTTTTTGCCTTGCTCTTCAGCCGTCAGTCCTGCTCATATTGCAGCGTGCTTGTGAATGTATGGGATTGGGCACACAGACAACACACAAATAGCGCTTTTAGGCTAGATTCTACAAATTGCAGCTCTTTAGTCTAGTTAGTTTTAACATCATTTCTACATACACAAATAAGAGAAATGATAATGAAATACTGTAAGGCCAAGGGAATTCTTCAGGCTGGGAGGTTTTACACATAGACGACCATTGTGTTATAACACTTGGTACCATTTAAATTGTGGAAATTCACAGCAGGTTTAAAGATGATAAAGAAATACATGCATGCTCAAGGTAAGAACTGAATCCTGTTCATCTTCCTGTAAGTGTTGTGTTACTGTGGGTACAGAGTTTGCCTATGTAGCGTTACTGTGCGATCCAAAGTCCAGTGAACTTCGTGAATAAACTGCTTTTGTGCTTGGGCCCCGCACTCTGTCCCTGAATATTTGGGGCCTGCTTTTTAGCATTTGTTATTCTGGATAATGCTCATTCAATGGCACAACAGTAACCTAGGTTATCAGTCCTGGTCATTGATGACACTAGTTTGCTAGTGGGATTTTAGATGTACTAAAATGAGCTGGTTTGGTATTGTTCCTAGTTTGGGGATTGAAAAAGCACTTTTGTAAAGTGATAAAATTCTGCATCTGTGCTTTTTTTTCCCCCCTCTTTGGAGAAGAACCAGAAGCATCCTCCTCTGGCTCCCCTAAATAAAACATCTGTCTGTTTCACCAAGCCCATTCTATTCTTTCTTTACAGTGTAATTCCCAAGCAAACATACTTATCTCTTCTCCTATTTGCTTGCTTTTACTATGTGTTTAACAGTACAATGGAGGCAAAGAAGGACTATGAGTTAATGTACTAGCTTGTCACACTCAAAGATCTGGATTCCAATTCTTTTAAGTCATCCTGAGTGGAAATAAATTTGGCATAGCTTCCTCAATCCTAATGGAAAGTTGCCCACATCTCAAAGCTATCACAAACTTAGGCAAATTTGGCAACCTTTCCTTAACAAAAGCAAAGTACGTAAATATAAGGGAGCCTACATCAGGATTCTGATGGTCTGGTAGATATTTGCTGCTGTTGCTGTATTCTGGTCATTGCTCTTGGAAACACCAAACTACAAAGCAAAAAGGCATATTTGTAGCCGATAGAAATTTTATTAAAGGAAAGGATTCAGTTCATTAAAGCTCTGCCAGTTTATGCTGTCTCATGATCTGGACTAACACTACACGATTTACGTATGTAAAATGATGTGTTGACACAGCTTGGAAATCGTCCATGGTAGTTCACAGGGCAGGCACCGTTGCCTGCGATGTAAAGCGCAGTGATCTGGTTTGAACACACCACTGGGGTTTGCAGTAAGATTTGCCATGCAACTTAATCCAGAGCAAACTGACCCCAGGCCTAAACAAACACAAAACCCTGCCTGTTTCAGGCCTTTAGTTACAGGTTATGTCCCTTACCTGATCTCTTGCCATGAGCTGTACGGGCTCGAGTTGAGTCCTTATTTTCACCTTCCCTTTTATCCCATGCGCCCACGGTTCTCACTCTGGATCCCCCTTATTTTCTAGGCCATCTTCTCATTAATTGCTTCCAACTCATCGCTTCCTTCCCATTCACCCCATGACTTTTCCCAGTCTTTGGCTTCCTGCTTGTTCTTCCCTATCCAAATTCCTCACTGTCCTTTGTGCTTCCATTTACGATGCCTTCATGTATTGAGATACACAGAAATTATCCCAAAATGTGTGAATGCATCAATTGCCAGAAAAAGATTAATATGCAGTGGTGCCTAAAATAGAAATATATTTGTTCCAGATGTCTTTAATGGGCTTGTAACACAAAAAAAAACTTTGTTTAAAAAAATTGCTGCAGGTCACGCACAATGGCTTATTTTAACACAAGTATTTTTCTTGTGGAATAAATGGGTCATGGGAATAAAAGCAGGACACACAGACTTATTTCTAACAGTCCAGCAGTAGCACAAAGGTCACTGCCATTTGAAGCCTGCTTGTGACCCCAGTGAAATCATTTTTTGATAGGCTTTGGCCAGTTGTTAATGAACAGCTATTTGCATCCCCCAATTACTGTGACAAAAATATTTGTCACTTCTATGCTGACAGACTTGAGTGTGCTCACAGCTTAGAACTGAAATACACTGCAAAGCTGATGGGGACGTTGCCTTACTGCTACCAGTTCAGGGGGCAGACAGACAGATGGACATTTTCTATACATTTATCAAAGAGCTAATAAAAAATATAATTTTTGAAAAGTTACTATTATATTGTTATATAAAATTATATAAACTTTTACTACAGTTTTATTTCTATACATAGCATTTCTCTTTGTATCTATTGTGTGTATTTATTAATACCACCAGATGCTTTTATCTCTTGCACAGTGAATTCTGCAGAGCCCTGGATGCAAGCGGTTCTGCCTGCAGGCAGACCCATCCCAAATTTGTTACCACTAGTGCTTGTAGTTGAGTCTGTCTTCTGAAAAACAAAGGAAAAAAAAAAAAAGGGCGACTAAATACAAGAGAGCCCATGTTTTATTTATCATTCAATGGAAGTAACTTAAGATAACTGAACTATCTCCAGTGCTCACCAGTGCAGTTGTGACCCCCAAACCAGTCTTGCTTGTCAGAGAGGACCCTTAAGTACCTGTACAATTCTTTTGGTTTTTACATTCATGGGAGTTTTTGTGCTGAGGCCCCACCAGATCAAGTGTGTCGCTCCACTTTGGAGGCAGCAGCTCTGTCGCTAACCACCAACACTTACCAAATGCCATTTTCAAGATCTTTAACCAGTTGTCTTTCTGTCCACTTGCTATACACAGAGCAACCTCCCACCCACATCGATATCTTGGTCAATACACTATTTTAAGGACTTAAATGCCAGTGGTACTATGATCTTTTTTTAAAAGAAAGACTTCCTGGCAGAACATTTCAACCATGTCTGTGTTGTAGTCACAATTATTCCAGTCTCTCTGTGTTAGATTGGAAGTTGATAAAACAGTTTAGCATCAGAGGTATCTTGACAAATGTTTTTCAATTAGTGAAAGCAGAGGATGCATCACAGACGCTGTAACACGTGAGCAAAAAAAAATAAAGAGATGGGGCTGAACATTTATTAATATTACATGCTGTAAGTCTTTTAATGTTTCTCTTCTCCATCATCATAACAGGGTAGAGTAAGTTGCACGGGCAGGCTGATGGTTCAAGCTGTCAATCAAAGAGGCCGCAGTCCTTGGTCACCTTCTGGTCAGCCTCATATGAGAAGGTACTTGATGCTTTTCTTTTCTTTTCTTTTTTTTCCTTTCAATAAGATATTTTATATGTTTTGCTAAATTATTCTGGTCAGATAAAGAATGTAAAGTAAGAAGGTAAGTTAAAATCATGCCATTCAGGAAGAAATGTGACCTCTGCTGTCTAAAAATTTCTGCAAAGCTTGCAAACTCAGAAATATAAACAACCACTGAAATTACGTTACTTTTAAGTATCTTTAATTTTGCCTGTCTCCTCCTTCTTTCTTTGTGATGTTCACTAATTACTCCTTGTCTCCAATTACACTATCAGCTGTTGGGAAGAACCTTGTCACTTATGGTTATTTTAAAACATCTCACCTGACTAGGATTCTACCAGGCACCTGTACTTTCTGCAGCTTTTAATAAGTATTTATTTAAAGAAACAGCAGCTATAACTGCATGCCAAATAAGTTTATTAGATTTACATTAGAAACATTTTAGTATTTCAGTGATTTCAGTTCAGGTTCTTACAAGGAATTATGAGTCAGAAATAAAGTATTAAACTTATCTTTAGTGAGTTCACAATTATTCACATATGAAGCTTTGGTTTAGGTTTTTGGACCATATAAGGTAATTTTTGCTTCAAATACCTTTTTTTTTTCATTACCCAAAGCATTTATGAAGCTATTTAGCACAGCTTAGACAGCTTTAGATGATATAAAAAAATCATTTTGGTTATCCAAGCAGAACTGCTTTCAAGGGAGTAAGAGGGCTCTGGTTCTGGTTTCTGCAACGATAAGGCACATCTTTTGCTTAATGGTCACAATGGCCATAGAAACTCAATATTGTCCAATTGTAATATAGGTGTAATTGCATAGTCAATGTGCAATAAAGAAATTATTCCTGTAACAATTAGTAGTGGTAGTAGTATGTACTGCAGAACTGCTGCGTGCAAAACAGGCTCTCTTCCCCCACTCTGATAACTAGAAAGTATCAGGGAGTGAGGTTCGTTGTTTAAAAAATCTTATCACTCTTATTCCTGCACAGAACAAACTGGGATTCCTGCAGTCACAGAATCATGGAATGGTTTGGGTTGGAAGGGACCTTAGAGACCATCTAGTTCCAACTCCCCTGCCATCAGCAGGCACAGCGTGTCTCTCTGAGCCATCCTACCAGCTCCCCCTCTAACACTTCATGTTTAGGCTGTTAAATCCAAAGTCCATGCCACTCATGGAGCATGAGAACAGCCCAAAAAACCCAGGTCCATTTGGTGTACAGTAAATAAGGCACTTGACACCTGCAAATAATGGGTAAAAATGAAAAGTCTCTGTTATCCCTGAAGGGCAAAGCTGCCATGAAGAGTTGGGTTTCGGCTGAATAAGTGTACACAGGCTGAGAAAGGGGAAATATCTTTAAAAACAGGGACAGGAGAAGATGACACTCTGCATCATTCTGAAGGATAAAAGTGGATCTCTCTCTCTCTCTGCAACAGACAGAGCCCTTAGGTAATAACGGGGCAGGCTCATTTTTCAGTCTCTCCAAATGCAGTTGAGGTCCAAGGCCGCTTATGGCTGGGGCTTTTTTTTTTTATTTAGAGAAACACCCAAAAAAGCCACTATTGCTTTGGTCAGGTGTCCAGTAGAGTAATGAATTATAAGGAAGAGATTTCCATGTAACAGTTTAATTAAAAACTAGGGCAATTATTGGGGATTGTTATTTCCTGTAAAATTACCATATGTGAAGGGCTCACCCGGGTATGTGTAGTTATGGAAGGTCTGTTTCTGCAAACCATTCAGCACAACACTATTTCTGTGAAGTGACATTTCCCGCTACTCCCATCACCCAGTTCTCCCTGTGACTGGTGAAATCTGAGCATGTAAAACCTTCCTGCGACAGACTCCCACCGTCAGCTTTTCTAATGTAACGTCCCACAATATTGTGCTCCCCCATATGCTGCAATGTGTCATGCAGATTGCCATATACTTTTGATAACTAATACTGCTGTGGCATTACAGTATTTTTCCTATAAGCTTTTCTGCTTGAGAGCAAAATCTTTTTTTGTTTTTTTGCTTTTTTTTTGTAAAAGTGCAATTACTGATCTAATCAACTTTATGACTGTTGACAGGCTTTTTCCTGTAAGTATCTCTTACTCTACAGAGTGTGTTCTGGCAGAAGTCTGTTTTTTTTGTTATCTTCACTACATCACAGACACTTTAAAATCATGCTTTGTAGCTGTTATTTTACTTTTAATGTATTTTTCTGAAGTTTGCTTGGCTTGCAAACATTATCTCCTTAGCAATATGTTGCAGGGCAGGGGGGGAACTTTTGGAACTGTCTGATGTGTACAAAGCTTGGGCTCAATCCCTTAGACGAGATGTTGCTCTACACTGTAGTCTCTAAGCTGTCTTGTGGTGCACTGCAGCCAGAGCCCCAAATCAATCATCTTAAAATGCATGAGATTCAAGGAGGATTTAAAAAAGAAATATTCCTATTGCACCTGCTCTCAATTAGAGGATTCATTTGAACTTAATCTCCTTTATCCCAAATTAGTGACCATTACCATACAGTCAGTCATCAAGTCTCCCCCAGCTTCTTGCTCGCTGAAATTCTTAGTGCATTGCGCCACACCAGCCCATGGAGTCTCCCCTGGACACTTTTAGTACATGATCTCAGTATTGCTAAAACTCATCTTTGCAATTTGATGCCCACATCACAACTCTAAGGAACCCACAACTAATCCAAGGGTATTCCAGTCTATTGCAATTTGTAATTCCTAGGCATCTGCAATACTTGGCTCTACTCATTTCATTATTTATTTAAAACCACAAAATGTTTTAGAATTAAAATAACCCTAGTTTCACCTCTAAAGGTAAAGACTTAACACTAGTCTGCAATTTTACAGGTGAACTTACAAATTGGTAAAAAGAAATGTGTTATTTATTCTGATTGTACACTAAACAGCATGCTGATTTAGGTTTCCTTTCAAATGTGTAATTTGAAAACTTAGCTTTCACGATTCAAGAACATACTAAAAGAAAAAACATATTTGGTCACAAACTCCTAGCCTTTTTGTTTTCCATTCATTTGGTGTAATTTTTTTCCCCCAGTTGTGACTAGTGCTGCCTTTTTATGCATCTAAACTGGATGCACATAAATACTATGAAGGCAGATTTGGCATGGGTTGCTTGCACTGTGTAGCACTCACCTGGCCAGGTACCATCATTTCTAGTTGGTCTTGCAGAACTAATTACCAGAAAATGTGACTTTTTCTTTATTACCACCCATCTTCCATCCCAGCTGCATGCATACGAGATGTGTACATCTGCAAAAACACCAAACAGAGCTTAGTGTTGCTTCTGAGCTGTAACTCTGGAGCTACTGAAGTAGCTTTAGGTGTGTTCAAGGGGCAAAAAACCTTAGGTGCTTAAGCCCTGGATTTAGGCACCTGAAGGGTTACATGAGCTTTTACTGTGTGCAAAGGCGTTGGTCTGTGTTCCCCATTTCAATATCCATTCCTACATTAACAAGCAGTATGAGCGAGATTTCCCCCCCCACACACACATGCATTTGCCTTTATTTATAGCTGTGGGAAGCCTGTAATGATCATTAAAAAGTCAAAAGTTACCTATTTATGACAGATAATATTGTAGCAAAAGTGATGATGGCTCCAAATTCAAACAGAGCAATAACAGAGAGAAGGGGAACAGCAGAGGACAAAATAAACTAAATTCAAGCAAGGCTAATTAAACTTAACCTCAGTGGAACAGAACGTGCAGCTACAGTGTTTATCCTCCATACAGTAGTACAGCATCTTGTTTTCCACATGTAACTGTTGGGGTTTTTCAGCTTATTTTGTTATGAATTATTTTAACCGAAAGAAACACTCCAGGACAGTAGAAGTTGCAGTATAGCCATGGATACTGCAGCATGGATACTGCAGCCATGGGCCAAAACAGAAACACTGGCAAAAGTTATCAGAAAATGGAATTCAGAAAAGAGAATTTAACTGTAAAGTGTCATTGACAAGTTACCTTGGAGGGTATCTGTGGTCATCTGCACATCAGTAGTGCAGAACAAGAGAAGATGGAAAATAAGTCTGATGTGAAAAGTCTCTTCTCAAGTGAGATGAGTTAGCTTTTAGCTGCTGTCATTTTCTGAAAGGTAATAATAATTAATGAACAGTACCTGTAGTTTCTGGTGTAACCAGCAACAGTGAAGGGATTAAACATGAACTGAAGCTATATGCTAAGGTCCACCAACTTATTTGTTTTTCAGTGATTTAAAGACTATTTCTAAACAAAAACATTATCATGTATAAATAAACTATTATTACAAGCAATTATTCTGTAGCAAGATTGTTTTCTAGATCATATTTTGCCCCAACATGTGATTTAAATGAAACTAATAAGTACAGTGTCATAATTAACTACCAGTGTATGTGTGTAACTATGGAGTGATTACGGTACAGGCTAATGAAATGACTTAAAATTCAAAGCAGTCTTTTTTTTTTTTGGTTCTTGTGATTCAGCAGAGAAAAAAATAATTTACCTTTATTTCACGTTATTTTAAGACCACGATCTCGATCAAGGGACAGTGGTGATGAAAATGAACCAATTCAGGAACGATTCTTCCGGCCTCATTTTCTGCAGGCTCCTGGAGACCTGACTGTCCAAGAAGGAAAACTATGCAGAATGGACTGCAAGGCAAGTATCGTGTGAAGGGCAGCAGCAACCTTTTGATAGTGTTAGCTGACTCAAAAAACAAGTTAGTTTATTTTTAAAGCTATTTTACCTATTGGCACTTTCAGCCAAGAGGTTAATTAATCTCACTGCTTAAGGGGAAGTTGCCAATGAAAGTTTCCCTCCCCTGCAATGAAAGCACTTCAGGCAAATCTTACAGCTCAGAGTAAACTGATTTTTGGAATTTAGCTGTGCTGGGGTGTGGAGGGGAGCAGCACACACTGTAAAGACAGCGTGTTTCTCCATTTTAAGTCCTTTTATTACTTGAGTTTCGATCCCCCATTAAAGTTTCAAACAATATAATCTTGATTGATGACTTTGCCTAACAGAATTAATTGAGGTTTGGATGACTTCTGTTTACTTTATGCCAGTATATTTGGGACAAGCTATTTGTTTTCAAGCAGTACCCACAGCAAATGGCACGGCTTTCAAAAGTACAAGACTCGTTCACACGACCAAGCATTAAGTAGTGCAGGCAGCGCTGTCACTAGATTACACCTAAGTGGAATGGAACTTAAGAGTTCAATAATGAGTCAGCTAACATCTTTTTGTCTGCAAGTCTTCCACAAAAAGTTAATCTAGAAAGGAGTATCTTCTCCTTCCATGTGAAGAGCAAACAATAAAAAAAAAGACAAAAGCTGTCAGCCTGCCTTTTGTTTTGCAACGTATTATTATTTAGCTTCTAGGATATCTAAACACTGATCTTTTTTCAGTCACGCCCATAAGACATCATGGAATTCAGGGAGTTGGCCCAAAAGTAAGTAAATGAATACAACTGAGTCAATGTGTAATTCAGGACAGCATTAGATCTTTAAATCTTGTGGTACACCTGCAGCAGCAAACAAAACCAAACTTCTCTGAAGTAACAAGTCAGGACTCCTCCAGTGTTTTGCATGGCTAACACCATTTCCCATTATTCTGTTTACACTTAAGGTTAGTGGATTACCAACTCCAGATTTAAGCTGGCAACTTAATGGAAGACCAATTCGTCCTGATAGTTCTCACAAAATGCTGGTGCGTGAGAACGGCGTGCACTCCCTGATCATAGAACCAGTCACAGCCAGAGATGCTGGAATCTACACGTGCATTGCCAGCAATCGAGCCGGTGAAAATACATTCAGCCTGGAGCTCATTGTCGCAGGTAACATCTTCACGCTAAGCTCCCTCACTCTGCGCTGTAAGGGTACCATGAAAAAGGAGAATGTAGGTGCCATCAAATGAGATGGTTGAGAGGTGGAGGGTAAGAAAAGGAAGCCTGGCAGTAGCAGAACTATAGTATAGTTATAGGTGATACCTTTACGTTACGTTGTGGCCTAAGTTGACTAGCAAGTCACCTCTGTGCACATGGTTAAGGAAAGAGGCTGTCGCCACAGGGGAGGCCACAGACCAGTCTTAACGGCAATCTGTGCAGACCCAGATCTACCAGTGGGTAGCCAGTACGGCACGATTTGTGTGTTTCCCAGAGTATTACACTAAGGCCATTCCTGCCTTCTGGTAGAGCAGTTCCTCCTATAATTGAAAGCCCATCCTTTTACCGAGTATGAAGGAGCACTGTTTAACAAGCACTGTGCACTCCTTGGTTCTTGTGATTCAGCAGAGAAAAAAATATAGTGGAGCAAGTTTATCAAGTCTTCCTGCTCCCCATTTCCATTCTTTTGGGGAGGCAGGGTGGGAAACCACTCAGTTCTATTAGCACTCACTTCTTCCCTACTAAAATACCAGGACTGGATTTTGTGATTAATGAAGACAACACTGAACTTGCCTGTCACTTAGATTTTTCATTACTGGTTTTTAGAGTGTTGCTGAAAGAAAGGCTTCCCTTTCACAGACTAGTGTCAACATGACCGCAATCTTTATTTCCACAGCTAAGGAAGTACACAAAGCACCCGTGTTCATAGAGAAGCTACAAAACACAGGTGTGACTGAGGGATTCCCAGTCCGACTGGAGTGTCGAATCTCAGGGGAGCCATCTCCTCAGATATTTTGGAAGAAAGAGAACGAGTCACTCACATACAACACTGACCGAGTGAGGTTAGACCGACTTGGAATAATCTCCCCCTGTGTAACTTCAATGGTGATTTATCCTGTGGTACAAATGAAAACCTAGAAGGTCTTAAGAATGCTTTGTGTGAACAGCAGCTCATAACTATTACTCAAACTTGCAGCCAGCCTGGTGGCCAAGCCGGAATTGAAATGTCAGTTCTGTTTTCCAGCCTTGGACTTAAAACAACTCTCTAAGCATGTGGAGAAGTAGTTTTTCTCTTCTAGAACTAAGACTTAGAGAAATTTACTGGTGAAAACCTAGGCTTCTAAGTAAAGCTATCTGCTTCTCAGCAGAAACCTTGACTCATAACTCTGCTGTGCAGTTAAGCAACTAAGATGAAGGTTTTTTTGTTATTCTAAGATCTATAAACTTGCCTTCAATATTTGATAACATTTTGTAGGAATGTTTAAGAGCAAACTCATGATATATTGCAAGAAAAGGAACTCATTACTGATATGACCCTGCAGTAAATGACTGCTGTCCTCCTAAGTAACTAAGAGTGTTTCAGTACCTTGTTCCTCAAGTTTTTTATCCTTTCCCCAGAAAGTCTGGGTAAGTTCTGGCATCCCTACTACTTCAATCAGATTTCCAGATGTCTTAATCTGTAATTGTGAAAGAGAAGTTACTTTATGCATTTTTACTTCTTAGTTTTCAATACAGGGTATTAAACAGACAAATTATCAAGCATATTCAAGGTTTTATTTTCCACTTGCTAACTTCCTCTGAAGTCCTATATTAGTTAAAAGTGGACTATAATTAATCTGTAACTAGGATTGGGTCTGATTATAATGACATTTTACAATAGCCTACACTGTTTTGCAACTTAAATAGTAATTTTCTACTTTGCTTTTGTTCAGCATGCACCAGGATAACTACGGCTACATTTGCCTGCTTATTCAGGGAGCTACGAAGGAGGATGCCGGCTGGTACACCGTTTCAGCTAAAAACGAGGCTGGGATTGTGTCTTGCACTGCCAGGTTGGATGTTTATAGTAAGTGACTTCAATTTTCATGGTCACATTAATCCCCCCAAAGCATCAGTTCTATAGGCTTCAGTCTGTTCACAGAATGGTTTACATTGGTCTCTCTTTTTTTTTTGTTTATAGTTTCTCCTCAATAATAACGATCCACATCAAGACAACAAATGTTCTGTCAAAGTACATTTCGCCGTCTTTCAGATACCTAAAGCAAAACAAGCATGCATGCTTTCTGGTTTTACTTAGTGTATTAAACATAGCTAATTAACAACAGATAACGGCATGATTACATTATTTTTGTGGATCATTATTACTATTACTCTGCTAGCACTTCCCTAACCTTTTGTATTCTTTAGTCTGTAATACACCTGTGACAGCTACCAGAAGTGCAGTAGATATTTTTATGGCTTTCTGCTTCATAATTCACTTTGTTCCAAAGCAGGCCCTTACACAGTGAGTGATGTCTTAAACCAAAATCTCCTACCAGTCTTCTCATAACAAGAATTAAGGGGGGCAGGGAGGGGGGAGGGCGAGAGACTGGACTGATAAAGGATGGTTTCTGGGGTGCTGGTGGTAGTAGTGGGACTTGGCTCAGCATTCTTCATCATACAAAGGGTAGCAATGGCAACCAGACCTCCTTTTACGTACAACAAACAACCCTCAAACAGGCCTGTCGCTGTTAGTGCAGGGAAACAAACTCCTTGTTGTTACCCTTCTCAGTGCCACAAGGAGAGGTAAAAAGCAATGCCAAAAAGGCAAAGTAACAAACACAGACACTATTGTTTGTACTTACCACATCTGAAGGTGAAACCAGATGCTGAGGGGGAAAAAAAAACAAACCACCAAGAAATGAAACACAATTACCTTTGATATAAAGGTTTTCTGCTGCTCAGAACTTAGTATCTCCTTTACAAAGGGTTGATTGTGCGTCTGGCACACTTCGTTGCAGAGCTCAAGATGGCTGACATTTTCTCTTTCCTTTTTATCTCCAGCTCAGTGGCAACAACCACCTCAGACAACCAAGCCAAAGAAGGTGCGGCCCTCAGCCAGCCGATACGCTGCACTTTGTGACCAAGGACTAGACATCAGAGCAGCTTTCCAGCCTGAAGCAAATCCAGTCCACCTGACAATGCAATCTGGCTTGGTAGAGAGCGATGATCTGTAGATCCAGCTGCCGTGTCCATCATTTTCCTTCAAAGCAGAAACACTGAAAGCCATTGCCTTGACCAATGATACTCCTATGTCACTTTATGCAAAGGCAGACACCTTCAAGTACAAAAGATAAAACAACAAACACAATAACCATATATTCCTTATTCATTATACCAAATTAGAAGAATAGTTAGATTATTAATAGAAATGTACACATTGCACAACAAATCACATTCACCAGTTCCTTATACCTAAGTTGCTTCAGCTCCTATGAATAATCCTTTTCATAAAGTCCAAAATACACCAGAGAGACAGATTTTTTCAGAAGAGAACACTATTTATCACTACATGCCTTCATAAGCAATAAGTAGATGCTACACAATGGTGCAAGATTTTTTTATTTGAGGCTATTAGATGACAAAGAAAATTAGAATGTATGGTTATCTATAGTTGTAAAATGGCAATGCATTCTGATAGCTGCAGTGAACAAGTGCAATATTGTAAGAATAAAACAGGAAGGGACAAGGAAGAGCAACATATCCCTGCAAACTGCCTTCTATTCTACAATGAAAAAAAATCTTGCCTTAAACGCTGTTAGTATGGACAAGTCTCTAAAGCAACATCAACACTGTAACTTTAAACTCTTCTGTATTTTTCCTTTTTGCCATCTAGAAGGAGGCTTACTTACAAACACACAGCAAAGACAGTTTCAGCAGAAGTAAATTAACCTCTGCAAGATAACGAAGAAAAAGAGCTGACGTAACAACAGTCTGTGCCAGCCTACAAATACTGGTAACTAGATGGGGAAAAGTTGCTGACAGTATGAACCACGGCAGTAGGGCTGCTGCAAGGGGTGGGAGGGGGACAGGGCAAGAGGCTGAAACTCTCTGTGGATTTCCTGAAGATACAGTCTGTAACCTCGTCATACTCCCATTCAAGAATCTGAAATTCTAAGGTGAGCTGAAAACTAGGGAGCGTATGTGTGGGACGTTCGACTGTCTAAAGCTCGTGGTAACATGTGTGAGGATTTTAGAAATGTTTAGTAAGTGAGAAATGGGTTGAGACTGCACTATGAATTTAAATGCCAAGTCTACACCACAGGTGATAAGCTTGCAGATCTGAGGAAGTAGAAAATGAAGATGGACAAAACCAACATCAAATTTGTGCCTTTTTTTCTTTTCTTAACATAGCAGGTGTCTCTGGTAGGTTGCATTTTTTTCTTCTCCAGACTGTGGGCCAATGACAGCTCTTTTCATGGGTAGGGTCTGTGCGCCGTAGATGAAAAGCCGGAAGGCTATTTTCAGAATGCAAGGCAAATCCACATCAAACTGGAGCCCCACCTTGGTCAGACCTGACTAGGTTGTTTCAAATTAGAACCAAATGAATTTCTGATGAAGGGGAAGGAGAGATGGAATAATTACTAGGCCTGACAAGAAAAATGAGCATTTGATGGTACGAACATACTTTGCTATGAAAGGAAAACACTGTATTCCTTATATGAAGCACATATATGGTATCTTTCATTATTTATAATAAAAGTGTTGAAATCTTTTATCTCAGTTCAGTTATTCAGAAGTCCTGTACTTAGGAGGTTTTTTAAATTTTGTAATTGTGTACACCATATATTGCATTACTGCTATACGTGTATTGCTATGTAAGTACACAAAGTTTGTTTTGTTTTTTAGTGACTAATAAACTTTAGCACATAAGGGTAGTACTGTTCTGGTGCAGGATGTGACCAGTTACGGGGATCGTTAATCTAGATTAACGTCGTAGTCTGTCATCTGGGAATAATCTGATTCTATTCTAGAAAAAGTATGTCATATCATTTGCCAAATTTTTCTCGACTGTGACATGCTAATTTACTTTTTTGTTTAGCTTCACTAGCATTATTTTGCCACCTTTTATTTGTATTTATAAAAAAAAATGTATTACCATTACTTTGGATTGTTGTGCTGATATAATGTGGGTTTAAACATCAATAAATATTACACAAATAGAAAGTTTTCTTCCTGGTAAAGACTGTTAACTGCTTCAGTACAAGCATGCAAGGGTAAGATTTAGAAATTTAAAATGTTATGAATACAGAGGAAAGGTGGGCTATATGCAGCATCTCACAATGACTAGAATTTATCAGCATATTCTGCTTGAGACTCAGAATCTTGTTTAAACAAAACACAGGAACAGAACCCATAAATTCTGAGGCAACTGCCAAAGAAGAATACTTCAAGATGCTTCTTTTGTAATAGGTTAGAAAATAAGCAGGTCTATTTGGTGTGTCTAGTAAATGCAATATGACAGCACTTACAAGTGATGCTACGCAAAGGCCATGGTCTAAGCGCAGTTAAGTTGGTTTAAGAACAGTCTTCTAATAAGGCAGCAGCAAAATGAAAAAAAAATTGTTAAGATTTACTTGAAAAATTCTGAATTTTAACTAGCTTCTCCTTCTTTCCTTTCTGTGCAAAGATACCAGGAAAGATGCAAGATAATAATTTTTTTTCTTGTAGTTTTACATTTCAGGCATTGATCACTACAAACAGAATTATCTCAGCAATTGAGGCTTGACATTAATGGTGATGCTGCAACTAAAGTCCATGGAGTTCTGCCTGCTTACAGTAAATCTGACTTTGGCTTAGAGACTAAAAAACTGAGACTGCTCTTGTGAGCTGGTTTAAGATGAGGTCATCATCACTTTTTGCCTCTGTATATATGTACAGACACACACTTAAGCAGTAAATCACATCTCTAAGCAGCGAAGTTGTTTTTATGAAAACATTCAGCTGCGCTGTTACTTAGTTACTGGGACTGTTGGGGTTTACAAATTCAGGGAGAGAAGCGTGGACAAGAAAACTACACACTTTTCAAGCCAAAAATCTTAAATTCTTGGAAGCATCAAAGTAACTTCCAGAAGTTTCACTTCCCTCCTCATAGGACTAAAAAAACAACCAACCCCTAACTTTTAACTTAACTAACTTTGCCCTAACTTTTTGCAAGACTTCAGGTTTAGCTAGGGGAAGACTTCAAATTATTTAGGAAGCTGCTCAGTCCAAGCATATTCAAAGCAATTGAAGACTCAGTGAAACTACATTCAGCATGATGACAGAAACCTCTTGTCAAGAGCACTAACAGGGAGGTAAAATATTCCACATGCATGAAGATTTTTTCAGCTGGTGGTGTACTGGAACACACACTGCCTTTATCCTGCAACTTCATCACAACAGCAACAATTAGCTAACATACACAAATTTTTTTCCATCACAGACAACTGGCGGTTGGGGATCAAAACCAACCTGGAGTGCAATTTGAAACCCTGGCTCATAAATTGTAGCTTCTTTTTTATATTACCGCTTTCAAGGACCATTTTCATTCACTTAGGTTGTACACTAATAAATGCCTTGACTCCCCGTTCCTTATCTCAGCAAGCAGCCCAAACAGATTTGATATGTAGGCAAGTGCTTCATGAGCCCGTATTATCCATCATGTCACGATGCTGAGGGGGTCAGCTGCACGCTCTGGCTGTACGGCCCAGCTGCCAAACCCACCCTGTGTTGTATCGCTGGATTAATGCATAGACTGGAAATGCCCGCTCAGATTTATGCACAGTGACAACAGACCTGATTCACTGCCTCACAACTCAGCTGTACACGCACAGGGCTGAACTTGCTGACATTTAGCTTGTTCTCCTCAACTGGCTAAAAGAAAAAGCCCTCCCCCTGCACATTTTCTGTTTGAACAGAACTGTGAGCACCTAAGACAAATCAGGCAGCTGAAAACACAGACCCTGCCCCAAGAAATTTACAATCTATTCCAGACAGTGCAGTATTCCTTAAGGTGTCTCAAAGCGTGTGACTGTAATTCAGAAATAAACCATAATTTGCATCCTTTTACAGAAGTGATTAATACATAAAATAATCTCAGCCTGCACTGAATTGCTAACAAAAGCATCAGTGTTTGGAACATAATGCTCAACTCACACTTAGAGCAAAAAAAGCCAGGCTAGAAGCAACAGCACCTGTACCTGTACAGCAGCGGTTTCAGCAGCTGTATGAACTTCAGTCCAACACCAGCAGGAGGCAGAAATTTTCTGCTTTACAGAACAACTGCAGTGCAACAGGTAAACCCCGGGAAAGGGCCAAGTCCTGCAACCACTGTCACTTTCTAGTTCCACAGTAGCATAAATGGTCCAGAAACAGCTGCGGAACAAGAAAGGAGAAAAAAAATAATAACAGCACATGGCCACTACTCAGAATGATTACATCACTTAGGGCAGGAGCTCTACAAATCTCATCCCACTGAATGGATTAGGATGGGGTTTTTTTGCCTGAAACAACTGTTCTGTTAAACACACAAATAAAGATATTGTCACGCTTTTTTTTGGCTGACTTGGCCCAGGCATCACAGATTATTTCTACAAAGAACTGAGGGTACAAAATACATTACCAAGGACAGAACCTTTCCAAGCTACTGCAGAAGGTGTTGAAAATACCTCGTAAGATAAGACTTCCCACACAACAGGCAACACACCTCTACTCTATCGCAGATTGCGAGCTAGCGGATTTTGAAGACGGCTTTTACCTGCAGTGTTTGTCTGAGCAACTGCTCCAGTCATTTGTAGGAAAGGGCCAGTCTATAAGCAAAAATGTTTTACCACACTGTTCTACAGTACAATGCACAGTTCTGAGTCTTATTAGCTCACTTCCTGCTGCAATACCACAGAATCACATTCACCAAACATTTCTGTAACATACTGTTAATCTGCAATAAAAGTTTTACCTCTAAAATTCTATATTAACTTCAGCTGTACAGTCTCTGACCATTTACTAATCCATGTTTATAAAGCATAATAAACAAAACCTAACATCAAATGTAATTCTCCTACCAGCACAACTGTTAGTAAATCCAAAGATCTTGAACTGTATGTGTATGATGTCATCTCAGGTATGGAACAGCTTTCAAGAATTTCAGTTTGTAAAGTTCCAGATCCACTTTCCACTAGGAAAAAAAGTGTAATTACAAAATGTAGATTTCAAAATCTAAAATAAGCTCTGTTAGTTGTTTCCCTCAAAGTCCTGTATACGAAAAGTATAACACCATTAAAAATCTTAATAGAAGAAGGAACTAATTTTTAAATTATTTTAAAGCTTCTTCTGAGCAGCAAATCCATTAAACAACCAACTTCACAGAAGCGGAACAAAGCTTGCATTTGTGATTATTAGTGTTTTCTTGCAACACGAATGAATTTCAGGTCAGCCTATACATCCTAAAAGCAGAGATGGAGTGTCAGTGTTTCCCATCACTAAATCCAAGAACTAAGACACCAGTGGTCTGTCTTTGTGTCTTTGCCCAAGACAAGTGGCACCGAAGCCTAAGGTGAAACAAAAAGACCACAGCACCTTAGAAAAACCCGTTGATGATCAGTGCACCCCACTGCCCTCGCTTCAGAGCTCAGATTTGGTCCAGCTGCTTTTGGCAGATGTCAAGTCAGAATTCAGGCCTGAACTCCCGGTAAGCGTGGTTGAGCTCAATGTGGAAGTCAGGGGCAGCTGACACAGCAGAGCACACACGA